AGTTACTAGTACCTAACGGTCACACCATGCCTTTAATAGCGAATCTAGGTCGTCTTTTATAGTTCTATGTCCAGGACAAGTCTTGAACCCTTTTCTGGTTTTATGTTGGTCTGGTTGTAAACGTCTAAAGCAACTGTATATCAATCTTTTCCCAACAGGTGGTACCAGCCGGAGGTTACGCCTACTTCCCTCCGCACCGGTCCGACGCCATGGCCCCTCAGCCCTTCCCTCTCGCCCGCCCGCACCCATACACCTACCTGAACCAAGTGGGCTCCACTCCGACGTCGCCCCACGGTACCGTGAGCGTCTGGTCCTCCGGCTACCCCGCAGGCATCGGGAGGCCGAGCCCCAGCCCCGTCCTGGCCGCTATACAGGTCAGGAACCGCATCCGTCGTCGGTCAGGCGTCGACGTCGACGAGGACGGAAACCCCATCAAGATCGCCCGGAGAATTTTCACCAACTCGCGTGAACGTTGGCGCCAACAGAACGTCAACGGTGCCTTTGCCGAGCTGAGAAAATTAGTCCCCACCCACCCGCCAGAGAAGAAATTATCAAAGAATGAAATTCTACGACTAGCCATGAAGTACATCCGCTTCCTCCAGAAACTGCTCGCTGACATGGACCGGGAGGCGGAGGGCGCCTCAGACCCCGCCCAACATGAGCATGAGCTGCCGACGTCCTCCACCAACCCAGACGGGAACGAAGCGCCCAGCAGCCCGGACACTGAGAGTGAGACACACGGTGGAACGGCGAACGGTGTCATCACAGGAGAGGACGACAGCGGTGAAGTTGGAGTTTAACTTAGAAAAAACTGACTATATGGATCCATGAAATGGAGCACTTGAACTGAGATGACGTGACGTATACCTGCCTGTAAAAAGTTATACTATCACTCCTGTCAGTACGTTGTACGGTACTACCTGTTTATAAAAGTTGTCCAAAGGAACAGTCAGTTTCCAAATCAAAATCATTTAATGTATTATGAAGTATTATGAACGACATCGGATCTGGGAGATTGAAAATTACCACAAGTCAGGATGGCACCATCTGCCCCACATACAAACAAAACGCCTGTTTTTACCCAATGTTTTTCACACAGGATCGCAGGTTTATGTCGAACGCTTCCTCTTAAGCTTAGCCATAAAGGACATAGTAAAACCCTTTTATTTTGAAACTGTACCATCTGTTGATTTCATCCATATTGAAACTACAAAAGGAAGGAAACAAGTTAGACGTGAGGAATTGTGATCCAATGTACTGATACCCTAGTGTTACCACTCCAGACTACAATGCTGAGATCATGGGTCTGCACTCACTCTAGAATGACGTGTAAGAAGATCCCTTCTGCTGGTATCCGTGGTAACCCGTCCTACCTCTACTTGACAGCTAATACTCGTATACGTAAATGACCACTGTGTGTAATCTGGCACATTTCTTGAGGGCTCATTTGTGGAACTTTTCAGTCAGGAAAGATGTGACAGTTCAGTTTCTTTCATTGCTTCATCTTCGAGTGAAAACGATCAATGTTTGAAGGGTGTAATTTAACATCTTGGCAACATCTTAACATATTGGGAACTCCAGGAGGAATTCCAAACGCCTGAAAATCTGTGGCTATTGTATCTTGGTACCCTTACAATGTAAGTTACATGTTTTGAATGGAATGAACACAAACCAAGTCACTGACATCTATAAATGAATATGTGCCCAGTATGCTCACATGCCATCATTGTATGTATCAAAGTTTTTGCAAGTACATCCTGAACCTGAAGAATTACAAGAAGAAAGTATCTACTGTGTGTTCCAGTTATTCACCATATTCTAGATATAGCCTGCACACCAAATTTATAAACTTAAGGTACACACACATGGAGAGCCGTGAACTTCATCCTTTGATAATTTCTTCTCTCGGGAGGGGAGCAAGCTTGACATATTTCCAGAGCCATGTGTGTGTATAATAAGGGGCATGCCAAGAAGGCTTCAACTTGGTATATCTGTCTGGGCTGTGCATAGGTGTGTGGGACCTGGTGAATACTGTTTTGTCTAAGTGTCCAGCTAATTTGGCTGGTGACCCAAAAATGTAAACTGTATTTATGTGGTATTAAAAGCATCCAAACAGGTTAATTGAATGTAGTTTCCTCAATATGCTACGTATACCTGCATATGAATGTTTGTCACATATCATCATAGGTCATATGATGGATGAATGATCCTCCGTACTGCACAATACCACAAGGGATAATTACCGTGGCCGACAAGAACAAAATTTTACACCGCAACTTTTGGTGTTTTACACCGCAACTTTTGGTGTTTTACACCGCAACTTTTGGTGTTTTACACTGCAACTTTGGGTGTTTTACACTGCAACTTTTGCTGTGTTTTACACTGCAACTTTTGCTGTGTTTTACACTGCAACTTTTGGTGTTTTACACTGCAACTTTTGCTGTGTGGAAAACTTACACCCCTCCCCTTTTATAATGGACGGTCCCCCTGTCAGGTCAAAGGTGACAACGATGGCATGCAAACTACGTCGACTGAGTTATCCTTTTCGTGCATAAGTTTTTTAGAGGAAAAGCTTCGCTACGTTGTGACGTTAGTTTTTTTCTAAAGGTTTTTCTAGCTTTGGCCTATAGACCGGCATAAATTTAAAAATGTTTCGACCAGGTCCAGTGATTACAAATTATGTTGCTTTTTGCTGCCATGCGTCACAACAAATTTATCAAGGACGTCAGATATCCAGCTCCAGACATCAACAGCAATGACATAAATTTTCTGCAGGTTAGTTCATTGTTATTGGGTATGGACATCGTTTTTCTTCATTTTAATGTCCCTAGACGTCAGCTTCTGACTTGCCGCCGCCATCTTTGTCACCTTTGACCTGACAGGGGGACCGTCCATTATAAAAGGGGAGGGGTGTAAGTTTTCCACACAGCAAAAGTTGCAGTATAAAACACAGCAAAAGTTGCAGTGTAAAACACCAAAAGTTACAGTGTAAAACACCAGAAGTTGCAGTGTAAAACACCCAAAGTTGCAGTGTAAAACACCAAAAGTTGCGGTGTAAAACACCAAAAGTTGCGGTGTAAAATTTTGTACTTGTCGGCCACGGTAGATAATGTACAGATTTCAGGTCGACTTATACTCATGCAAAACTGTTTAAACTACTTCAGCACATATGTGCTTCACTTTGCCTATCACTTTGGATCTCCAAGGAACTTGCTCTCACTTGACTTATAAAATTTCTGAACAATAACTTGGGCTAACATGAGAAATACCCTTAGACCCTGTTCATACCAGACTTATATTTAGCGGTTTCAACCGGTTTTTCAAAAACCGGTTTTTATTTAACCTGGTGTGAACGCAAATTAACCGGTTTTTAGGGGTTTAAATCCGATTTTCAAAAACCACCTCGGGAGGTGGTTTTTGAGGGGTTTTTCCACCGAAAAACCTGGTCTGAACGCTAAGGGTTTATTGAACCGGTTTTTGCGTCATAATTCTGGGGTCACGGGGTCAGCATCCTGGCCGTGTGCGACCTCCGAGCTTTTTTGATCACGCTGTTTAGACCGTTTCCACTGTTTTTCCACGGTTTCTCTTCATTTTTACGATGGAATCAGCCAACGCAACCTGGTCGGTGGACGAGACGCTCCCGATACGTATTTTTGGGGAGCAGGAGTTGATCGCCGAATTGGAAAAAGCTGGGGGAGGGCTCTATTGAGGTCTCTACCGAAACAAAAATGTTGGAGGAGCCTGGTAATAGCCGATTAACCGGATATTCGCTGGACAGGGTTTTTGAAAAACCGGTTTTGTAGTCTGGTGTGAACGCGACGGGTTTTTGCCGGGTTAATTATTTAGCGGTTTCAACCGGTTTATATAAGTCTAGTATGAACAGGGTCTTACACTGGTAGTTGAAGGGACAATATAAGAGGATGGTCAGGAAAGGAGGATGGCTGTGACTTGACTGTACCATAGACTTACTGGCAGTAACATGTATTGAACTTTGAGGGAAGATAGAGGTGTGTATGAAATAGACTGCTGGAAACAAATGTTGGGAAAGAATCTGTATTGACAGTTAGTATGCTCAATCCTTACCCCAGTACAGTACACCACAAGATTTTCAATCTCATCCAAATCCAAATTGATGTCATTCATTTTATTTCATGGGGGTGATAACAAACTGTGCACTTCAGCTACAGGAGTACTGTTGTCTATGGGAGTGCCTCCATTCAGTTTTTTTTTTAAATTTCAGTATTCAGGATGTGTGCCGTCCTTACAAGGCAAAGAGAGGGCTGAGCTTTATGTACTACTACTGTTGTCAAAAGTAACCTTATTTTGGAGCTTAGAAAAATAATCAAACAAGTGCCAGCCATGGTGCATGACAATTTGGGAATGCTGTACAAAGGGAACTTTCAGAAATACAAATACCTAACAATACAAGGCCTAAAATAAACACCTAACCTAAAGAGTATGCCGTGTCATTACCACCAAATGACACTGTATTGTTTACTCTCCAACTCAACCAATATTTACACTAATTTGCAACGACTTGTTCTCTAGATCACTGCAGTAGCTGATGGAGCAGTAGTACACTTGCTACGTGCTGTTGGGCTGGTGGACATGGGTGTGGTTAATTGTCGCTGGGGTTCTGGATACAAATCAGTATATACTCCTTGTCTGGAAGAAACAAAGAAAAAACATTTGTAAGTAATTACTAATAATAGTGTGGATGGAGTATGGATTGACAGATCACAAAGGGTTATTTTTAGTAGAGTAGCCAATTCTTTCTAGCCTCTAGGTTTACAAAAAATTTCTTCTGTCACTCTATAATTATTCCTGTTGGCTTCCATCAATATTGTTTACATACTAGTATCCATTTTACCAGCTTTCTCCATTTTGTTCTACGCTCTTCTGGGTTTGTTCCTAAATGACAATGGAGTTACTCAATTCCAAGACAGTCAACCACAGCACGGTCCTCCCTACCTGGTGCGACCATGATCTCGTGCTTCTTGGAGCGGATCCGGAGGAAGGTCAGGTCGTTCTGCGGGTCGATATCCCGTACCACGCTGCGGGCCTTGTTGGACAGGTTGTGTATCAGACCTGCGTACTGCACCGTGGTGGAGTTATCCAGGGTCGTCCTGATGGGGATACCTGCAGACAAGAATACAAAGGTTTTGATAGAGTTTCTTAAGTGAACATAAGTATGGTAAGTCATGTAACATGCTATGAAAGTAATACAGTATGTATACACTTGTATCAGTAATCAACTCTGGAAGTCATAAAAGTCAAAACAGGAGACAGTTAAAGATGGGCCAGTTGCCAAGGCTTTTAGCTACCTGTATTCCCGGGCTATTTGAAATACCTGTGGCCACCATGTCACAAAATACACAGTGACACAAAGGTTAGTACAAAAGCACCAGCTAGTGTTACAGGCTGGTATTACATACATTACATGTTATAGAATAACCTAGTAAGTTGAAGACTGTTTTAATAGTGGAGTGGCACAGTGCTTGTTCAGACAGGGGTGTTCTCATTTAATTTGTAAATCTTGCCATAAATCTTGTTGATAAAAAACAATCCCGAAGTTGCAGATGAACATTTGATTGACAAGAACAATTAAGGTTTCAGTGATGGGACTGCACCTTTACATTAAGAATTACTGTAAGTTCTTAGGGCTACAGTGGGTCTTGCAGGAAAACATAATGGGCCGTTCAAAAAAATAACTGAGGAGGGGGGGTGGAAGAGCTTGGATTTTCTACTTTTTGACTCCCCTTTCATTATTATCCAAGGGCCTTGACCCCCCTTCATCCAGGGGCCTCAGCCCCTTAAAAATTCTATCCAAGCGACTTGACCCCCCTAAAATTTCATCCAAATCCAGGGTTAAACCCCTTCAATCCAAATCCACACTCACCTAACCCCCTTATAGTAAATCCGACCTCTTCCCACCCCCCTCCTCAGTTATTTTTTTGAACGGCCCAATATTCCTTTTTGAGCGTACATGTACGACCACACCTTGTACATGTATCGCACATGACAGGGTTTCTGATGTTGTGTTGTGTGATGTCAGGTAAACAAAAATTACCTTCAGAGTTAACGACGATGATCCCAATGACCCCCTTGTGGCCCTGGATCCTCTTCAACATCTCCTCAACTTCAGACTGTAATGTGAAACAGGAACATCAATCTTGTTTCTTAATGATGACACAAGACATGAAATATGATATGACATATCTGCCGCCCTCCCACCCCAAATCTGTGAAACATACTCCTCCTAGCGAAACACGACAAAATCATCCACGTTACGTTTCTATCGCCATTTTACATATTCCTCCACATCCCAGGTTGTAACAGTCATTCATATATGTTATCAAGAGGCAGCTAAAACAGGTTAGAATGTGAGAAACCTACCATTTTGCTGGAATTCTTCGAGTCTCACGACAAACTTGTATTTTGGCCTGTTGCTAAGTCGAATGAAGCGCATGCGCGAATGGTCCCCAAAGGAGGTGACGTCACAAAGTGAGGATTCTCTAAGCCGAGTTGTGATTGGCTAGCTTTACCTGACGTCATAGAGAGCATTGCCTCCCTAAGCCGAAGTTTGATTGGTTAACTCTGCATGATGTCACAGTGTTTTGGTCATCAGCACGGAGAGGAAACATGGCGGATGTCTGCAATGATGAAGCACTGTTACACGGACACTTTCGCGAGGATTTGACACCGTCTCATCTTGATAAAGCAGCCAGAATCTTCTGCTGAGGCACGCCGATATCTGTAGACTGCGTAAGAGAATATGGGGGCTAAACAAGTACGAACACACGCATGAGGACCTTCTCTAATGGCGGTGGCGCCACGGCCAGGAATAATGGCGGGGTGGCGATGAGCTCGCCTGGCCCCAACCAGATTCACGGTCATGTCCCCGGAGCCTCGGGGCTGCATCCAAGGATCGGCAACAGGACACGCTCTCTTGGCAGTGTGCAAGGTCCGCAGCCATTGAGTATTCCTTCAAACGGCGCATACAGTGCTCCGGACAGCGAAAATAGTACACCGGACGATGGCAGGCTTTTCCCCATGGGTGCCGCACAGTCTCTGCCGGTGCAGCTGATCGCACCATCGCTGCTAAGTGGTAGGATGTACACTAATTGTTCCTCGGTAAAACGTTGACAACAGGCTCTATAAGTTGTCAAGGAGGCATGTGTTTAAGATATTACACTCACCAGCGTATATGTAACGTAAAGTCCCAACTTTTAGTTGCTTTAAATTTAACAGGAAACGCATGTCACCTAGTACTGTTTAACCTGTCTCCCTTGACTTTGTGTTGGCCACAACCTTGGGGCGGCTGGCCTTCACGACGGTTGTCCACCCAGCTTAGCCCCTGGCGTGGTACCTCAGACACTCTACTTATTTTATTGCAAGCCATGTTTTGGCAATTCTACCGCGGAAATTCAGTTAGGCAAAGTTTCTGGCAGGAAAACTAACTAACCCTGCGCTAAGTAAAAGTCGTAAGTGAATTATGTTGGGCAATATTGTACCGTTTGCATTGGTTTACGATTTCTACATCATAAAATATGCTGGCACCATTACCCACTGTTTATATAACATGAGCAGAGTTTTAGTAATCAAATTGAGGAAATGGACTATGACCAAGCCTGAGATTGCAATTTCACTGTTTGTTAATGTTGTATAGTGGTGCCATGGTTCCATTGTGAGTGGTAATGTTACCCTTTGTTCACTGTTTCAATGTCCACAGTGGACAGCTGGAAAGGGAGGGATCAGAAGAATTGTCATCTGCAGGAAGCCAGAGCTTCTTTGTTCTTAAATATCCATGTTAAAAAAACACACTAACTTTTAAATGTGAAAAGAATGGGAAATGGCCTTTGTGTGGTGTCTCAAGCATTAATTTAGACAAGAGTCCAACCTTTTTAAGGAACATCTATGGAATGTGGCAGCTGCACTGTTGACCCCTCAAAGTAGTGCACCTATTTACATTTCTTGTCCCAGTTATTCCTCCTGTGGTTTGCACATGTGCTCAGACTCTTTTCTTTTGTGTCAATCCATGCATAATATGTTTACTATTGTAGGTGTTTGTGTGTATCTCAGCAAACTTTATTTTTAAGAAAAAAAAAAAACACAATACACAGTAATTCTGTTATTTTTGTACATCCATACATGGTGAAGTTAAGTGTCTTGAGTATCATAGGCATGGGTGTGAAGACTTTATATGTACATAGTATGGTCCCTATAAGGGTTCTTATTGTATTGTGATCTTATCCTCCATCCTCGTGCCAGTCGACCCATGGCTCACCCCACCACTCTGTGCTACAGGGTGGAACGCACCACTTCACAAGGCTAAGTGAATGTCTGAAAGCTGCCTGCTTGTTGACAAGGTGGAGATGTGGGCTTAGATTTGCATAATTTGAATACCATTGAGCTCTTTTGCAAACACTGTGATAAGATTGAGTAAGTAGACATTAAACACGCAGAGATTCTCAGAATACAGGAAACATTAATCTGTGGGTTTGACACTGTTTGCAGGAAAAATAAACAATGTGACAAAGTAATTTATCCAAAGAGTCTGAGCAGTGGACTGAATCATAATGTCACTGTTTGATGCATGTTTTATGAAGTGGAAGTTAAAACAAAATTTTTGAATTTTTACAGCCAAGGAGAGGCACCAGCATGTCATGATAACATTCTGACCTTGGGTGTGGGTCTGTAATTGATGTCACATTCAGTCAGACATGATAACGACCATTTCAAATGTGTCATAAAATGATTCTATGTTGTAACACGGTTGGGATACAGAGTAGAGAACTTGTGTTTACAGTGAATGTGTAGTCTAGACACAACTGGTTGCTGAATATGGCCAGTACTATCCTTAATCTCCTCAGGGGGAACTTTTAATGCCCTTGGATTCCCATTGGCGTCACTGTTTATATGACCAGTTGAAACCCAATATCAACATGATGGTATAGACGCCCCCATATGTGGATTTGCCATGTTATGTTTCCCACAGTGTCATTTGTAGTGACTATTGAACCATATACAGTCACAACAAATGTCTTGTCTCGTTGTTTTTGCCAACATTTTTTCTTCCAAACCTGACAATTGGGTATGAATCCTGATTGTCTAAAGATAAGTGTAAGTTCGGGTCATGGTTCAATGGTTGACATTACCTAGCCTTCAGACCAACATGCCTATGTGACAGACACCAGAAGCTGCAGAAGTGTTTGCTTCCAGAGGAACTAACAGGAGTTGGCATGAGAACTACGTCAAACCTGTATTAATATTTTATTTCTCAGTATGACGAAGAATCATACAGAATCTTTCAGACATCCTGCTTTTGTGCAGGGCAGGTTTGAAGTTAACTATAGGTTGTCACATGTTATACTTGTAACCAAGTCTCTCCTGTTGTTTCAGGGATTAAGTGTCCTGTCTGCTCTAAGTTTGTGCCTCCTGATGACATTGAGTGCCACCTTGTTATGTGCCTGACCAAACCCAGGATTAGCTACAATGGTAGGTTCAACGTGGAACAACTACTTATCACTAAACACTAGTAACAGTGCTGCAAGTACAGCCAGGGCTTAGAATACTGTATTTCAGTATTGTGTAATAAGTGATTCATTTCAAGCCAGCACTTATTTAAGCTTGCCACGTACATTTTTTTCTGCAATGTCAATTTGTAGATTGCAGGTGAGTATGTTGTCTTACAGGTATGCATCTTCAACCTTTAGCCTCAAAAGCTGTTAGGAAGCATCATCCACATGACTGGTAGCTATATTGTATGCAAATGAAGTGGCCGCCATCATCCTAACCACTAGCTATGTAATTGGCTGATTTCAGGCTTCAATTGCATTACACAAAGTGGTTTTTGGCAAGTAAAACTTTGAAAAGGAAGGCTAACCTCAATTTGTTAATAGTTTGAACCAATGTGTCAAAGCAAGCTGCTACATCTACCTTATTACATGTTGAAAGTAAAAGTACAGAAGTTTACTTGCTTTACATATATAACCGTTGATGGTACTGTCCAAGCAGAAGTTGGACGGTAAGTTTTTGACCTGACTTGAACCATATTAAACAGACTGTCCATCCACAAATGTTGAGCTTCACTGAATTGTCCTATTGATCAGCCTAATGTTACACAAGACCATTTTAAATTTAAGAAACATTCAGTACAGAACCGGAGAAAAAAAAAAGAAAGATGTCATTCACATAGTTTGAAATGCCATGCACTAATGGATTGTATACCAGGTACTGACAAAATCGTGCAGCTGATCATAACAGAACAAAAACTGGACATGCAGCAGACTGAAGGTCATTTAGCTGATGAACCATAATTACTATAATACATGCATGCACATGCACACATGTGCTTATGTACATGTAGGGCTACCACAACTCAATTTCTGGTTTGTCAGACCTTAGTGAGCAAATATAAATGTGTCCAGAATACAGATGTATATGTAGCAACTTCTTACTCTCATATTTCATCAACTTAGATGTTATATTGTCTCAGAGGAACTCTCAGAGGAACAAGTAATTTCATCGGACTGGAATAAGGTCATAATTGGATGCACGCTTATATTATAAAGGATAAAGGTCCCTCCTTCTTTTGTCCTTTTCCCCAGGAAACATGGGCCATAATTAGTAAGGGCTCATCGTGGTTGATATTACATGCAACATTGATTTAGTAAGGGCTGTTCCATTCAATCAAGTGTTAAGTAAGGACAGTCAGGAACCTTTTGTTCCGAACTAGTCATCTAGGCTATTCTAGCTTAATGAAAAAAAGTACTGCAAGCCTTCTTAGAAAGAGGCCCATAACATATTTCTGGACAGAAGGTATGTCTGGGTGCCACTTTAAACCATGTTTATATCACAGTGTGGCATGCTTCATTTCTTGTTACAGATTGGCCCCTGGTGTCATGTATCACAAAACCTGTGAATATTAAAGTGTTATAATGTGATAACAAAGTGATATCATGAAGGAAAATACTTCACTTCAGATTAGTTAGTACTTGTTGTTTGAAATACAAAATGCAGACTTCATTTACTCCTGCAAATGTTCCAAAATGATGTTGAATTTGTTATCACAAGTAAAGTTCAACATCCAACAACAAGCCCACCCATAAGGACAGTCATTGGTAGAAGGACAAATTCATCATACAGTAACAGGTTACTTCAGGTCAGGTCTGTTATGACGTCTGACTTTGCTCCAACCTTGTTAAATAATTGAAAGGATGGATTTTTGGCAGGTTATTTTTAGGTTGCTGGAGGTTAGATAACAGTTCTGTATTGAGTTTCCTTGTACCTCGTTAAAAGGCGGTCCTTTATTGGGTGTAACTGATTGAATGTGTTCCATTGTTTTGTGTGAACAGAGGATGTTCTTGCTGCTGATGCTGGAGAATGTGTCATATGTTTTGAAGATCTTTCCCAAGGAGACACTATAGCGCGCCTGCCCTGTCTGTGCATCTATCACAAAGGGTAAGTTTGCACTCTGATTTCAAAGTTGATCAACAAGCCCACACGTTTTTTTTATGTACATAGATATCCATTTTTAGGTTCTATATTTTTATGGCGTTTTCATGCGTCATTGAAAGCAATATACTCTCTTGTCTCCTATACATTGTCCTGTACACGTGCAAAAAACTGTGGCATTGCATAAGGGAAGGAGAGAGATGTAGACAAGTTGACTAAAGCTTGTTGTGTTCTGTTTACAGATGTATTGACAAGTGGTTTGAGGTAAACCGTTCCTGTCCAGAGCATCCTGGGGACTGACTGGTGGGGAACGGGCTACCCAGGACCGAGGTACTGAACGGATCAACTTTCTTCTGAATCATTTGTCCAATGCTATGGAAGTATGCCTCTGGATAGCTACATCATAATATTATCATCATGCTGGATAGATATGGCATCTCTTAATTTGATGTGACTGAAGATCTGGAAACGGAAAATTGCTTCGTTCATAACAGGGAAAATGGGTGGAGCCATCGTTGCTCATATAGTTGTTCTTCTGACACAGGACAGTGTTTGCTGCTCTGCATTGCTCTCTGCTGTCGACAGGGGGTGCTAGTCCGAGACTGAGCTATCCTGGGACATGACGAGGGCCCTCCCCCTGGCAAATAGAACCAACAGTCAGCTTCATAGTTCATTGTAAAAATTCCAATCAGCTCAAAGCAAAGAAGTTCATTTTTTGTTAAAGAAGACCAAAGAAAGAAACAAGTTGAGCACTGCACTTTTTTCCCTTTTAAATCAAAGTCTCTCGTAAAATCCTTGATAGTTCTAAAAATGCTGAGCATCATGCAGGTTAATGTAAAAAGAATTTTGAGTAGACTGGACACAGTAAACTTTAGGTAGGTATTTTGAATGTGATTTTTGGTAAATTCAGATGTCTGTATGGCATGCGGCAACAGTAGATCTGTCACTGCAAGGTTGATAAAGAATAGCGTAAA